CTTTTGGTAAAGTTTATTGAACTATAGTTTATAGGCAATAAAAATTTGTTTGACAGTATACACAGATGTGAACTAATCAAAATATAGAACATCTTTCACCCCAGAAAATTCCCTTGTGGCCCTTTGCAATTCATCCCATCCCCTTACCCCCAATTCCTATAACCATTGATGTGATTTCTGCTCTGCAGTTTTGTCTTTTTCAGAATGTCACATAAATGGAATCCTACAGTATGTAGCCTTTTCTGTCTGGCATCTTTCACTTAGTATAATGTTTTTGGGGTTTGTCCATGTGATTTGTTCTTCTTTATTGCTAAGTAGTATTCCATTTATCTCTACCGTAATTTGTTTATCCATTTGTCAGTTGATAGACATTTGCATTGTTTCCGGTTTTGCACTATTATGAATAAAGCTGCTATAAACATTTACATTTTGCCATATGGATACCTCAGTTTTGTGGACATATGTTTTTATTTCTCTTGGGTAAATACCTAGGAGTGGGATTGCTGGGTCATATGGTAAGTGTATAAAAAACAGTTTGGCAGTTTCTTATAAAGTGGATATACTATTTTTGCATTCCCACTAACAATGTATGCGATTTCAAATTGCTCCATATTCTCACCAGCCTGCTTTGATTTTAGCCATTCCGTAGTGGTATCTCATTTTCCTGATGACTAATGATATTAAGCATCTTCTCATATGCTTATTTGCCATCCTTACAACTTTTTTGATGAAGTGTCTGTTTGAATCTTTTGCTCATTTCTTTTTATAAGTCATGCTTTTTGTATACTATGAAATCTTTTACTAACCCAAAGTCATAAACATTTTCTTTTATTTTTCTCCTAGAAGTTTTATTGTTTTATCCCTTAGATTTAGGACTACTATTCATTTTGAGTTAATTTTTGTATACAGTGCAAAATAAGGGTAGTGGCTCATTTTCCCCCCATATAAATATCCAGTTGTTCCAATGATATTTGTTGAAAAGACTGTCTTTTTCCCCATTTAATTACCTTGACACGTTTGTCAAAAACCAACTTACTATACATATGTGAATCTGTTTCTGGGCTCTATTCTTTTCCATTGACCTGTGTGCCTGTCCTTATGCCAAACCACAGTTTTAATTACTGTAACTTGATAATAAGCCTTGAAATCAAGTAGAATCTTCCAGCTTTGTTTTTCTTTTCAGAATTGTTTTGACTATTTTAAGTCCAGTATGTATAATGGTAATGCATAGTGACCAAATAGAGTTTATTTCAGGAATACTAGGTTAACTCAGCATTCAAAAGTCAATCAATATAATTCACCTTCTCAACAAACTAAAAAAGAAAAATTATATGATCATTTCCATAGATGCAGAAAAAGCATTTGGCAAAATTCAGTATCCATTCATGATAAAAGTTACAGCAAAATAGAGAAGGGAACTGCTTCAGTGTAATAAAAAGTATTTATAAAAAGCTGACAGCTAATGTCATAGTTAATTGTGAAAAACTTGAGCGCTTCACTGCTAAGACTGGAACAAAGCAAGGATATCTTCCCTTAGTGTTGCCCTGGAGATCCTAGCCAGCACACTAAAGCAAGAAAAAAAATTCTGACAGGTTAGAAATGAAGAAATATTTATTGTCTTTATTTGCAAATGACCTTATTGTCTGTATAGAAAAAAATCCCAAAGAATACCCAAAAGTGCTACTATATTAATAAGTTGAGTTTAGCAAGGTTGGAGAATACACGGTCAGTATGCAAAAACAACTTGTATTTCTACTAGTAATGAACAATGGGAAATTGAAATTCAAAAAACAAGAATTTACAATGGCATACAAAAATATGAAATAATGGCCAGCAACCAAACAAAAAAGAAAGAAAGAAAGAAATATTTAGGGATACCTTGCTAAATACTTGGGACCAGAAATGTTTGGGATTTTGGATTCCTTCAGATTTTGGAATATTTGGAGAATACCTGCCAGTTCAGCATCCTTAATCTGAAAATTTGAAATAGGGTATCATGTTGGTGTTCAAACAGGTTTGAGTTTTGGAGTATTTTGGATTTTTGGATTAGGAATGCTCAACCTGTGTGCTGAAAACTACAAAACCTTGCTGAGAAAAATTAAAAGAAGACCTGAATAAATGGAGGATTATACCATGTTAACAGATCAGAAGATTCAATATTGTTATATATCTCTTCTACAAATTGATCTATAGATTCAATCCAATCCAATCAAGATCCCAGTAGGATCTTTAAACGTATCTTTACAAGAAAGGATTGACTGGGATTGAGTCTATAGTGGCAAAGGAAAAGGCAAAGATATTTTGTTTTTTTTTTTTTTAATTGACAAACATTCTAAAGTAATTTCAGAAAATTCTCCCACCTTTAAAAATGAACATACAAATCACATTTTATTTTAAGTAATAATAGCTAATATAGATCGAGTATTAACTTAGATTATTTTAAAACATTTTACATGTATTAACTCATTTAATCTTTAAAACAATGCTGTGAGGTACTAATATTATTCCCATTTACCAAATGATGAGGAACAGAGAGTTTAAATGACTTAACTAAGGCTGAATTCTAACCTAGGCTGGCTTTAGCTCTTCTGCTCTTAACCACTATGTCATGTTGCCTCTCTTGTTTCAATTTCTAAGTACTAAACATTGAGCTTTGTTTTGCATTAAGACTGATATTTTGATCTATGGTATTGCTTTATTTAAGTGAAGGTTTAAACATGCAAAGTTCAAAGTCAGTTACTGCTGCGTGTATGGAGGATGCTGGTGTGGTGGTTGGTAAAGCCATGCAAAATGGTTAGTGTATTAGTCAGGGTCCTCCAGAGAGATAGAACCAATGAGATATAGATGTAGTCATATGAGAGGGGATTTATTAGGGGAATTGGCTCATGTGGCTATAGAGGCTGGGAAGTCCCACAGTAGGCCATCTGCAAGCTGAAGAATCAGAGAAGCGAGTCACATGGCTGTCAAAGTCCAAAGGCCTCAGAACCATGGAAGCTGATGGTGTGACACTCAGTCTGAGGCCTTGCCTGAGAACCCAGGAGGCCATTGGTGCAAGTTCCAGAGTCCAAAGGCCTGAGAACACGGAGTTCTGATGTCCAAGGGCAGGAGAAGAAAGTTATTCTAGCTCTAGTAGAGAAAGCAAATTTGCTTTAATTCTGCCTTTTTGTTCTGTCTGGATGCTCAAGCTGATTAGATGGTGCCCACCCACGTTTAGGGCTGATCTCCATTCAGTTACTGGACTCACATGCCAGTCTCCTCTGGAAACACACTCACAGACACACCCAGACATAATGCTTTGCCAGCTATCTAGGTATCTCTTAATCCAGTCAAGTTGACACCTAAGATTAACCATCATAGTTAGCACATTAGAATTCTATTTGCATGTTTATTTTGTATGACAGTTACTTGTTGCCTTTAGTAAGATACTGTTCTTTAAAATATCTTTATAAGAAAGGGTTATACACACTAAGATTGGCTGTATAATGGCAGTGACATACTTTTCATAATTTATACATGGTATTAATTAGCATAGTGTTATGATTACTATATTTTCCAAACTAACATCCAGCAGTTTATACCTTTCTGGATGTGACAGTTAGCCTATTCATAAAGACTTGGAAAATTTGGAATTCCAAGCCATGTGACTTTTTAGTCTGGCATCACAATCACATCTGGAACTTTTAAAAAACTACCCGTTGGTGTCTAACTTCCCCATTCTGATTCATTGGGAAATTCTAAGCTAGAAAGCTCTAGTTTAGGTAATTCTGAGGTGCATCTTAGTTGAGATCCACTAATTTATGGAAACAGTGGGATAGGATATTTAAGATTTGGACTATCTCAAAAAATCCAGACTGTATGATCACCACGTTTAGTAAAGGCAGGATTCTTAGTTCTCATAAATGGTTATCAGCACGGCAGACATCTGCTCTGAAATCATTCTTGCTTATGCGAGTACTCTTGCCTCTTCATTTATCACTATATGTTATCTATCTGGTTACACTTAGTTGGGCCACAGCTCTTAAATTCTTCGATTGACTATGTACACAGCCACTCTGCTTAGGGCCCCCTTATACACTATAGACTTTAAAGTTATTGTGGGACAATTTCTGAAATTATTGGGATATTACATTTAGGCATTTCCTGTCTCACCTATAATTTTTTGTTGTTGATTGAGGTTTTCAAAGGTAACAGATGCCTCCAGTTTCCAGATGAGAATTATAAAAGGTCTTTTCTATTAGACTGAGAGAAAGTAAAAAAAATAGCCATGAGAAGTAAAATTACTAGTGTCTCCTCTCTTAAGAACCATAGGAAATTTGAACTGGAAAGGCTTGGAGATTATTTAGCATGGATTCTGATTTTACTGTAAGTAATATTAAGCTGAGAGAGGAGGATTGACTTGCCTAAGATAGCACAAATAGTTTATACATAAATAAATGTAGAACTCAAATAATAATATGGTTAAAAAGCAATCGAACTTTTCCTTTTCACAATTTGAATGTGTTTTACAATAAATATAGTTACCTGAGCTTTCAAAAAGTTTATAAATGTTACTTTTATAGTTGCTATTTATTAATTTTCTTTAAAATAGAAGAGCCCAAATAATACTAATGATAGTTTAAAAGAAAGAAAGTTTTTATGCAGTATCTTAGAGTTATAAAAGAAAAAGGGTCTGCCATTAGTTGAATATGTCAGCCTGCTATAGAAATTCCCTTTATGTTACTGCAGTGCAGGTTTTTGTTCCATGGGTGAGAAATAGGAAATTTACAGGAAATGTAGTCAGTCTATAGTTATACAATTGTTTTTCCTTCCTTTGCTTGTTATAGAAATTATAAGCCATGTAATTGCTTTTATCTTTCTGTTCAATTGACTGAGAAATAATTGAGCAGAGTATTTTTGAGTTTCTTTTTTTATAAGTTTCCTATTTTGTTTCTTTTTTTTAATGTTGCTTTAGCAATGTAGCTTTATTAAACTTGTTCTGTTTTCTCTTCAATGAATGTCAGTTAAAGAGAAATTGACTGCGGATCCAGACAGTGAAATAGCTACAACCAGCCTAAGGGTTTCTCTGCTATGTCCGGTAAGTGTTAACTAATACTTGCTTTGCAGAAGGTTTAACATACATTTTCTCTTTTTATTAAGTATTTCCAGTATTTGGGAAATTCTGTTTACTTTTAAAATACGCCCACTTTTGTTACAGTTTATGAAAAGTAGAAAGACAACTAGGCATCAGATTTGAATTTTTTAGATTTTAAACAAATCTAAAATATTCTCTACCTTAGTGAGACATATCTAAATATTGCCTGTGACTGATGATTATCTCTCAGGCACAAGTATAAAATCTCAGGATAAGGATTGTTTATTGTCCCAGTGTATTTATAAAAAATTCATTTTTTAGGGGCTGGTCCGGTGGCGCACTGCTACAGTGTGCTGCTTGGGAGCACGGCGGCGCTCCCGCCGAGGGTTCGGATCCCACATACAGACCGGTTCCCGCTCACTGGCTGAGTGAGGTGCGGGCGCGACACCGAGGGTTGCGATCCCGTTGCCGGTCCCGGTCCGGTACGGGCGCAACACTGAGGGTTGCGATCCATTGCCGGACACGAAAAAAGACAAAAAGGAAAAAAAAATCATTTTTTAAAATATAGTACACTTACTGAATAAAAATCTAGCCATGATTAGCCAGACATCAATTTAACCATTTTGTCAACAATGACCGTGTTAGAAGGATCCACCAATTAAAAACTATTCTATTCAGCCTAAATAATTGAATTTGTTATGTATATAAAAATAACCTAGAAATATTCTTAAACCAGAAATGAGGTAAAAATAAATCATTTGTTTGATCATTTGGTACCAAGACTTAACAATTTTATTAAACCTGTAGGGAAAAAGTCTCAAAAAAATGTTATGTTAAGGTTTATTTCTTAACTAATTTGATGTTAGGTCCATCAGTAGTAGAGGTGGTAGTTGAATATGGCTTTCATATGAAAATATGTGAAAAATTAATAGTAAATTACTTTGACATTTTGATTATCTTTTGTTCTATAATTAATCAATTTAATCATATTTAAATTGGGGAGAAAGTATGAAGAATGAAAGGATACATCTGTTTCCTGATTTGCTTGGATTGTTCAGGCAGGCCTGATATTGAAAGCTTTTGATTTTGAAATTGTACTAATCTGACAGTGAAGTTACTGTGTTATTAAAGAAACAAAGAATTTAAATAGAAATTAAATGGTATTTGTCCTACATCTTGGTGTTTTGTAATTTTTAAAACCCTCAGACACAGTATGAAAAAGTTATTAGCTCATAACTTAGTTTACAATACTGTATTTTATGTTGCTTTTTAAAAATAAAAATGTTTTTGGTGGTAATTGCTAAGGGAATTTCTGCTTGTTATAAAACTTGTAAGTTACAGAAAAAAATACAATAAAGTTAATAAAAACCACTAAATCCTATCATTATATATATATTCTTCTATTATTCCTATAACTTTTCTTATTCCTTTTTATAGCCAATCTTTTTTTGAGGGAAAATATTCTGATTCTAGGCTTTTTTTAAAAATTAAAAATTCTTTAAGTAACCAGATAAATATTAGAACAGCCTACATTGAAAAGAAACTTAAAGAAAAAAAGTTTAGAAAAATGGTTCACACACCAGAGAAGCAGAGGGTAAGAAGAAGAAAAATTTTTTAATGGAAAAACACAGACTCTCTCTCTCTCTCTCTCTCTCTCTCTCTAAAAATTAAAAATTCTTTAAGTAACCAGATAAATATTAGAACAGCCTACACTGAAAAGAAACTTAAAGAAAAAAAAGTTTAGAAAAATGGTTCACACACCAGAGAAGCAGAGGGTAAGAAGAAGAAAAAATTTTTAATGGAAAAACACAGACTCACTCTCTCTCTCTCTCTCTCTCTCTCTCTCTCTCTCTCTCTCTCTCTCTCTCTCTCTCTCTCATTCTTCCCTCTTTCCCCCACATACTGACATACTGGTTTATTTACTTCCCCCTTCGTGGTTCCTTACCAACTCATTTTATTATAAAACACCAATTCAGAGAATATGATAAATTTAGCAAAGTACATAAGGTTTATTTTCCATTTAAGTCACTAGGAAAAGTCTTATTTTTCCGCAGTGTCACTTTAAAAGTCTTTTCAGTGCTGATATAATGTTTATAACATTTAACACTTATATGAAGCATGTATCCATACACATAAGCACTCCAATATAAATATTGGAAGTTTTTATTTGTGGGACTAGTTTTGAATTTTATAGCTCAGGTGCTCTTCTCTACATTATTAGAAAATATTAATCACACTTTCCTCTTTGCACCCCTTAATTTAGTGGACCAGTTTTAAATTTTTTTCCGTGTTCCCCCTGCTCCTCCCTCTTTAGTTCTAACAGTTAGCAGTTCATTTTAAATTGATATCTGCTTTCAAAATTCATATTATAGAAAAAACAACTATATATGTAATCTATAATTATAATACTTTCATGGGTTTCTGACTGGCTAAAGGGAAAATCCCTTTACATTTATTCTGGAACAGTAAGGCCATATATTTTAGGTATGTTTTCACTCAAAAATAAAACTTAGAAATGACAAATTATCTATATATCAAATTTATAGAATAATAAAAGAGATTTATTCCCTTTGAAATATGTAAATATAGTGTCTAACTGTGCATTTAAATTGCCCTTGTGATGTTCAGAACTTAAATGAGTTTCTGCTGTTTGTGTGCCATTTAGCTAAAGGCAATGAGAATAATTAAAAATATTTTTGCTCTTAGGGAATTTTTCGGTTCTGATTTATTAAAAATAGAGCCGGAAGAATCTTTAAGAGCCTGCTTTGTGAGATAATTCCCCAGACCTGTAAATCCAAATACAAATGACTTGGAGTTCATAGAAGGAAAAAAATAAACTCTTTGGAAATTTATTTATTCAATATTTATTATTATTATGGAAAAATTATTACATTATTCTTAATAGCACACCTCTTCCTTTCTTTTTGCAAGGAAAAAGCACATATTTTATTGACATTTTTAGAGTCCTTTTGATATAAGCAGGTTTAAACTTACATCTGGAGTGTTTTTTCTTGCAGCATCATCAGTTACTAATATAGCACTACTATGGTAAGATTAGTGGCATTAAGAAAACACATTTGGGAGTTGTTTTCAACGTGCTTATTTGCAAATGATACAAATACCTATTATGTCCTATAAAGGGAAAAGGGGACTTTGTAATTACAAGATAAAGATGTTCAAAGCTTAGCTTCTCTCCTGATAAAGAGTTAGAGAAAATCAGTGTCCATTTGGTCAAATAAGAATTTAGAATTTAGTGATTGTTTGTAAAAATCAGGAATATGAAGATTATTATAACAGTTATTTTATGGTTCTTTGAAGCAAGGCATTTGTGTAACAGCTAATAAACAATGTATTTGAAAGTGAACTTCTGCTTTCCTGTACCCATTTATAAATATCCTTCCCGCACCATTTACGTATCAGTGTTTCTTTAAAACTCTGTAGGTCAACTTGTCAGTGTAGCTGATCATAAAGGATTGAGAGTTGCCCTCTTGCCTAAAAGATAGGAACTGGCAGCTGGGAATTATAGGGATAAAGGTATCTGAGATGAGGGCCTTGGAGAAAAACTGCCTTTCAGAGTATAGATTGTATGGCTTATGACTTGTATTCTGAAATAATCTTTATTTCTTATCATCTTATTCATTGTCTTCATAAGTAATCAGAAGTAGGCTTATAGTTCTGCAGGTCATGAACCTTGAATATTATTACTGTGTTTGCCTAGGATTTTTAGGCTATGGTATTATTAAAGCAATAGCAAAAATACCTACTCAGTAGGAATTTGCACTTCACAGGTAAGTTAAGGTTTGATTTCAGATATAAAAATTTAAGTTGGTCCCGCCAACTAGATTGCTGTTTGGAAAATGTTTCTGAACTAATGCAGCATATCTTGCCTAATGATAAACAGGTGATTTTTGTGTTATAAGAACTATTTTGTTCTTTTGGCCTTTTTATCAGGTGCTTGTGACTCAAATCATAAAAATTGAATAGAAGTGCAGTAAGGGAGTAATGAAGCTATTTAATACTGTATGAGCATAGAAAAATAACTGAGGTGAGGTTTCGGTGGATTTTCTAGTGTACAAAGGGATTTAAAGCAAATATATTCCTGTAATTTAGTTAATAATAGTGACATTTTTGAAAACTTAGTGTGTGTCAGGCACTGTGCAGTAAACATAATTTAATCCCCACATTCTTATAGTATAGATGCTATTTTTATCCACATTTAACAAAACTGAACCATTGAGTGACTAAATAAAATAACATTCTAGATTCACACAGTAAGTAGTGGGACCAGGATTCAAACTTAGGTAGTCTAACTCCAGAACTCATACTCTGCCTTGTAAAGGCGCACCTTCATGGATGGTGCCTCCTGGAACTGCTCAACTGAATGTGCACAACTGAAGTCTTATCAGTACATAAGGCTGCCTTCCTGCTGTATAGCAGGTACATTTCCAAGTGCTGGGGACAAGGAGACCTATTTCTAGTAGGAGGAGACACATAGAGAAATAAATGTATAATTATATGCACAGAGAAGGGAGCTGTCAGTTTACTCTGGGTCCCTCTTGTCCATACTTCTGATACTGTGATCTGACATATTCAGGGTCCTTTTTTATTCTTCATTGCTACATCCAGTTGAAGAAGGAAGCAGTGTGATAGGAAAAGTGAACCAGAAAGGTTAAGTGCCTTTCCTAGAGGCTCAGTAAATCATTCTTACAAGAACAATAATTTAGGGTCCTAAATAACAGTTAATTTCCTTGGTAGACTAGGAAATTGCACATTTCCCAGAAATTTTACTAAGCCAAGAATCTTTTACTCATTTACCTCATATCCTTTTCAAACTTTTATATATCTCAAGCTTACAAATATGTGGAAAATCTTTTCCTGGTACTTGGCAAATAATGTGGCTATTAAAAGTAGATGACTTCTATACCGTATAGCCATTGTGGGCTCTAGGGACCCCACAGTGCAATGAGGTGTCCTCCATGAAGGAGGTCATGATGATGGCACCTCTTGGTGTAGGTCTCTGGGCAGCTTCTCTGCCTTGGGCCATAGCTGGCAACCCAGGAACCAGATAAAACAGATTCCCTTATTCATGGGACAAACAACCAATGACAACTCAAGCAACTTTTCCTGGGCAAGAAGAGGTCTCCTAACTTGCTGGAGATGCTAGAGGCCCAGGGCCATTTGCTGAATTGCCTGTGACGGTGCCTGGTGAGGGAAGAAACAGAGTGCGCATACCTGGCTTCCTCCTCAGAGTTGCCACATAGCAATTAAGCCAGACATCATAGGGAAATCACTATTGATGCCTTTTTGTCCTGTGAACTATTCTCATTCAAAGATAAGGCTGATAATAAATATTATTGTATCTCTGTATCCTGAAGTATTTCATAAGATATTCTTTCTTTCCTTTCTGTAATCCTTAGTTAATTGGTTCTTAACTTTTTTGGAGTCAGGGATTGCTTTAAGAATTTGGTGAAAGCACTCTTCAGAAAAATGCACATGCAAACTTTTGCATATAATTTCATGGGGTTCCTGGTCCTCCCCACCAAAAGCTAGTTTGTGAGTTGTGGACTGAAGTAAATAACCCTTGCCGTAGATTTTCTGTAGTTACTGTGTTTGATATTCAAAGAAATAGTATAATTTTTTAACCTGTAGATATGTTTCACAGAAAATGTGTCTAATGTTCTTCCACATGGATGAAAAGGAAATACAATATGCTTTAAATCAGAACACATGCACATTGTTTCAGTAAATTTCTATCAAAGCTTAAATTTTGAACAATAGTTGTCTAATATTTGCTTTTCCTCTCCTCTTTTAAAGCTTGGTAAAATGCGGCTGACAATTCCGTGTCGGGCCCTTACGTGTTCTCATCTGCAGTGTTTTGATGCAACTCTTTATATTCAGATGAATGAGAAAAAACCAACCTGGGTTTGTCCTGTCTGTGATAAGAAGGCCCCGTATGAACACCTTATTATTGATGGGTATGTCACTTTAAAGTTTTTTCTTGTAACTTGAAATGACCATCTATTGTCTGGATTTGTTACCCATCAGGTTTGGAATAAAAATTCTACAGGTAGTATTTTCTAAGTTATATATTTTCAAGATTATCGTGATTCTAAAAATCAGTATTTTCAAAGTGAGTAATTAATATTATGATATTAATTAATTAACTTTATGTCCCCTTGTTTTGAAAATGCTTGCTTTACTGTTGGAATGAGGAGGGTGCCACGGGCCTTGACCAAGGCGCCCCCCCCCCTTTTCAAGATTATCGTGATTCTAAAAATCAGTATTTTCAAAGTGAGTAATTAATATTATGATATTAATTAATTAACTTTATGTCCCCTTGTTTTGAAAATGCTTGCTTTACTGTTGGAATGAGGAGGGTGCCACGGGACTTGACCAAGGCCCCCCCCCCCACTTTTCCTACCCTATTCCTTTCTCCCTTCCTCTCTCCCCTTCCCCCTCAACTGCTCCACAACAACAACTTAGAATGTAAAAATAAATAAATAAATAAATAAAAATAAAAAGAGCAACAAAGAAAAAAAGTGAATAATTATATTAATTAACTTTATGTCGCTTGTCTTGAAAATTCTTGCTTTACTATCAGTGCCTCTTGACATTAATCATTTAAAGCCCCAATGGTTCTGAGCAGGATGCACTTACACCTTTTCCTCGCATGAGTCCATCTTTCCGTAGATGTGCAGACCATATCAGAGAAAGAATTGGAGATTCTGGTTAACTCAAGCTCATCAAAAATTGGGCTTTATAGTAGAAGTTTGCCTGTTTCTGGAGATTAGATCAAGCTTAAGTCATGGCTGTTATACCTATTCTCCCATGTAAGGGCTCCTGAAACTGATCAGCAGTCTGAATAGCAGCTTCCTTTGTTTTTCTATTTCCTCTGATACACTTGTCTTTTTCTTTTTGTCTTGTTCACAGCATCGCGACAGTTCTTTTTTTTTTTAACACTCCTATGTTATATCTATCCTACCAGACATCTTGGAATGTTCCTCTAAAATTTCCCCTATTCTGGGGCTGGCCCGGTGGCGCACTGGATAGTGCGCCACTTGGGAAGCGCGGCGGCGCTCCCGCCAATAAAATAAAATAAAATAAAATAAAATAAAATAAAATAAAATAAAATAAAATAAAATAAAATAAAATAAAATAAAATAAAATAAAATAAAATAAAATAAAATAAAATAAAATAAAATAAAATAAAATAAAATAAAATAAAATAAAATAAAATAATAAATAAATAAATAAAATAAAATAAAATAAAATAAATAAATAAATAAATAAATAAATAAATAAATAAATAAAATAAAATAAAATAAAATATAAAATAAAATAAAATTTCCCCTATTCTGTGGCCTCCTTTTTTTGACTTTTTGCAACTGAACAAAAATAAATTGTGAAAAGGAGGATAGCTACGAAACATTTCCTTTACTCTCCAGTAAGACACTTAAGGCAACTTATCTATAGTGTTTGAGAAAACATGAGTCTGAAGGTAGTTATATAAGAAATTAAATATATTTAGCAATATAAGTATAACCTAAAGCTTAAAGATGTCAGACCAGTCATGGGGAAAAAAATAAACGTGTAACTTAAATGTTTTGTGTTTAATTTTTCATATATGACTATGATCACTAACTTGCAAATCTGAATTAAATAGTAATATTTTACCAACTCTGTATGTTACATAACTTTAAGTTTCCCCTTTTATTCTTACAAAAGACACACACACACACACAGAGTCTTTTAAAGAAAATTGGAAAACACAGGAAAATAAAAAAGCTAACTCTGTATGTTACATAACTTTAAGTTTCCCCTTTTATTCTTACAAAAGACACACACACACACACACACACACACAGAGTCTTTTAAAGAAAATTGGAAAACACAGGAAAATAAAAAAGCTTTTTTTGATGTATAGTTTTCTGGATTTTGTTTTTACATAATTGTATTTATACACTGTTAATATTTATCCTTTGGTTTCATTTAGCATTATAACCTAAGATAATAACCATAATTAATTTTATGCATTCTTTGTAAATATTTTTTAAATGTCTTCATGATATTTTATGAAGTAGACTTAACATTTCATTACATATTTTTGGTATGTATTGCTTCTTTTTATGAAATAAGACATGCTTATTGTAGGCAATTTGGAATATGCAAAAAAGTATACAGAAGAAAAATAAATACCCGTAAAGTCACCACTCAGGGATAACTGCTGTTTATATATTGCTCACACACACTTTATTTTTGAAATGTAGTTTTCTTGGCCGTTTCTCACTTCTTGTAAACATTTCCCCCTGTTATTAAAAATCTTCGAATTTGTCATTTTTCATCATTACATGAGATTTCCTTATATAGATGTACCGTAATTTAGGTAACTATTTTTTTATTTAGCACTAGATTTTGAGAACAAATATAACTTATCTGTTCTACTTTCTTTTTCCTCATTTATACTTCGACATAATATAAAAATTCTCAATGTTTTTTGAACAGTAATATTTCTAATTTATCTTCATTTAAGATGTGATATTCTAAGGACAACTTGTTTTTTTATAGTTTGTTTATGGAAATCCTGAAGTACTGTACAGATTGTGATGAAATACAATTTAAGGAGGATGGCTCATGGGCACCGATGAGATCAAAAAAGGAAGTACAAGAAGTTTCTGCCTCTTACAATGGAGTCGATGGTGAGTGGTAGTTTTTCACAAGGGTGGGGCTGTCTCCCTGCCACTGTAAGCCTTGGTTCAATATTAAAATGCATACATTTTTTTAAAAACACTGAACAATTTATGGATAGCTCAATAATTCTTATTAAATTATTGATTAAATGTTCAGAAGTAGTAGAACTCTTTTTAAATTCACTCTTTTGCCAGCTTTAAAATGTTTCTGATATAAGATTTCAAGGTAGCATAATCTAATGTCATTTGTAGAAAACTGCTTTTGAAACAATATCCTTTTTAAATTTTCAACAGATTTGGTATCAAGTAGTGAACATTCTTTTTTCATTTACATTTTTTCCTGACATTTAGTATGTTTTTGCTGGAAGAAGGCTATGAGGTTTTTTTAAATGTTATCATAATGTTTCTTAAGTATGCCAGGTACTCTACAGGTAAACATATATAATGTTTCTCAAACTGCTTTTATTCTGAAGTGAACATAAGACATACATTTTGGTTGTTTGCCGTAATTCAGAATTGTTTTTCAAAATAACCCTTTAACAAGCAGTAATAAATAGTAGTTTTTAGTGGAACAGAGTCACTGTTGGTTTTCCACTCTCTGGCCCAGCAATATTGTGAGTCTAATTTGCAACTGATGCATTAATCTATAGGGACACTAAGAAAAGAAAAGATGCAAGGTATCCTAGGTCTTCTGTGCTTTTTGTATTGTAATTATTCCCACACAGGATGCTTGAGCTCCACATTAGAGCATCAGGTGACTTCTCACCACCAGTCCTCAAATAAAAACAAGAAAGTAGAGGTGATTGACCTAACCATAGACAGTTCATCTGATGAAGAGGAAGAAGAGCCATCTGCCAAGAGGACCTGTCCTTCCCTATCTCCCACATCACCACTAAATAATAAAGGGTAAGTGCTGAGAACTTTAAAAAAAAGTCATTGTGAAAGTTAATTTGGTAAATAAGGATTAAAGACCTGCCAGATAAAATGATTATGCCTGATTTTAAAACTTAACTTAGCAGTCAAAGAATAGGTTGAATTTTCCCCAGATGTTTAATATTCTTGAGAGATTAGGGTAATGCATTAAAAGGGTCTCTCGGATAGAGTATTCATATCAAAAGATGATTCTAGTATAGTGGTTCTCAAACTTTAGGTTACATCACAATCACCTGAGCACTTATTAAAACTCACTCCTGTCTGAATCAGGAGTATGGACTGAGAAAAATTGTATTTTTAGTAAGTTCCCAGGTGATCCTGATACTGCTCATAGGATTCAAAACATTTACTTGAACTGGAAAATCTATGCTGTAAATTTAACCCCAAGTTGAGTATTTCAAGTGGAAAGCAGAAGAAAACCAGATGATCTAAACCTGCCTCAGCCTATGTGTGAGGCTGGCAATGAAAGAGGTCAAAGATGACTTAAGTTGCAGTACACAATATTTTCTGTTTTGCAGATGTATTTCCCATATTTCCCAATAGTCTCATGTCAATAATAATGTACCTTAGTTATGCTTCAGTTCAGTTCATGAAACACTGTTATCTACTTTGTGTAAAATGCCCTGTGCTGAGCGTGGATGGTAATAAAATGAGTAAATATAGTCCTAACCTTAAAGAGCTTAATACTTTGTAAGAGGATGGTAAAACAAGTAGCAAACTCTAGATATACTCTTAAACAGATTGTTAGTCTGATAGGCACATTGGGGATTCTCACCAAAAAAATTTCATCTGTTGCACGCTAATAATAGTAAATCTAGAGATAGACGTGCCTCTTTTCAGGTGTTTATCAGGAGAATCATGTGGCTTGTTGTAACTGAATAGGAGCTATTCAAAAAGTCCTCCAACAAACAGTAGTGCCTGAAGAAAGAATGAAAAGAAGAGAAGGAAAGTCCATAGATGGCATTGTTACAGATTTCAAGGTTCAAGAGGAAAAGTTGACACCAGACCAAGAGTGGGCATTTTTGTGCTTGGAGCCAAATCATTTTCAGATTTGGTATTGTATGATGAGTTTAAAACATTTCAGTCAAACATACAAGTATTATGCAGATTGATATTTTTATTCTAGAGTAGCTCATCTCAGTGTATAGACACATAGAAACGAAGACATTAAAAGTAGTAGTAGTATTCTAAACAAAGTGAAATATTAAGTATTATGAATATTACCTCTAATGAAAGCCTATTTTGATGGCTGTTACCCAGCAAGCCTGACATTATTACACCAGCATATTTTATAAATCTAAGTAGGAGAAAAAGAAAAGTAAGATTACCTGGAGCTAGCATAGTTAGAATAAGTATCTATAGAATTTTGATTTCAAAATATTTTATAAATATCAAACCATAAAATGACCAAATACATATTGTCATATGATTTGTAATGCCATAATTACATTAAAAGATATTTCATAAATCTCTAAGTGTATAATTCTTTTGGGTTAAATACTTCATTATATATGTTCTATTCTTTAGAATATTAATAGTAGTCATATGTATATATGTAAACTATTCAGTAGTTTTACTGTTTGGCAGTTTTTTTTTTCTTAAAAGAAAATTTTTGAGTGTTTAGAAATCTCATGTTTCTTCTTTGGATATTTACTTTTCTGTTTCTCCAAAATAGCTCTGTTTATTATGTTTGGAAGATTACATTAGATGCATTAACTACTTCCTGAGCTTCCTGGTGACTAATTGAACCCAGATAGAGTATTTGCAAATGCCAGACCATTCTCTCTCTGTTTTCAAGAAGCCTGAAAGTTTACAACATCTTTTTAAGAATAACACCATAGTCAACACTATTAGCCATTTTCCAGTAATGACTAGCCAGTAACTAGAAACCTAAGCCTGGCAAATTGTGTTTTTTATTGTGTAGTGTTAAGGTGGAAATGCACTTCAAAACATTATCACAATATTGAAAGAAAAGCAGCCAGCCAGGAATTAGAAAGAGGCAAACATCACTAACTGTGAAACATTTTGTTGTCTTCAACCACTGAATGTTAAGTATTCATCCAGAAATTTCCTATACTGTTTGGTATACCAACATGTTTTCAAAGACTAGCATTTCAACTGCTTTCTTCTCTCTTGTAATCCCTTATGCATTATAAGAGGACACAGCTAATGGAAAATGGTACTTTTTATAGATATGAGGTTTAATTAAGTTTCCATTAGATGAAACATTTTTATGAGGCGGATGAGACTGTTTTTAAGTTTCACATCCCATTCATACAAATGTGGTAGATGGTCATAACTAGAACTCTATTCCTGGAAATCCAGCCTTGGCATCTTTTGAAATATTCTGCACCATTGAAATTGCATTTCCACATCCCAAGTACTTTATATGAAGTATTAAAAGGAAAACACAGCCTCTTTATTTCTTTGTTTTTCTTTATTTTCTATAACTTTTATGCCTATTAGCCTACTATACAGTTGGGGTAACATATAACCCTTATGTGTCCTTCCAGGACTGTTATAATCCTTTTTCTTTTCAAAATCAGTTAAATTCTTCCTTTTTGCTTTTTCCTCAATTTTTGGTAAAGAAAAAGAAATTTGACTACTCAGCTATTTAAATACTTCACTCTGTTTTTCTAGAGTTTCTCTTTTTTTCTTTTTCCGGTTATGCTATTCTCCATTTAAAATCTCTCCACCACCTATTCATTTTGGATTATTTCTTCTCCTTGTCTCATTGCCTTTGTTTGATTCAGCAGGCGTTTTATGCAAACAATGTGCTGATGACTGCTGGGCATTGGGTATACCAGGATAAACACTACCCATATTTCTTCTCCTTGTCTCATTGCCTTTGTTTGATTCAGCAGGCATTTTATGCAAACAATGTGCTGATGACTGCTGGGCATTGGGTATACCAGGATAAACACTACCCAGCTTTTGTTCTCATAAAGCTTTCAAGTCTGGGGGGCCAGCTATTAACTTCTAACTATGCAGATTACTACAGTCCGCCAGTCTTATCTATATGTGTTTTCTTTGCTAGAACTTACTTTTTGTTCTTACTAGCCAACACTCCAGCACTTATTTTAAAAAAGGTTTCAGGATTTCGTCTGCCGTAGATACCTTTCACTTATATCCTATTGAAGTGGCTCAACTATAACTTTACCCTACATTCCTGCTCCTATAGCTCAGCTATAACTTTACCCTGCAAGTATAAGTGATGATACTGCAAAGACTGTGTGTGGTTTGTGAACGTTGGTTACCATTGCATCCAACCATTTTTCCCAATAGCCTCTGCAAATGCTACTGAGTATACAAATTATTTCCTAATAATGGTGGATAGTCTAAATTATATAGTAATTTGCTTGTTTTTGTTTTTATTTACAGCACAAAAGCAAGGGTTTATTATGAGATGCAACCCCTTCATTTGTTAAATTTAAAAGTTTAACTGACTCATGAAAATTATGCATACCTTTCCTTCTTATAGCATTTTAAGTCTTCCACATCAAGCATCTCCAGTATCACGCACCCCAAGCCTTCCTGCTGTAGACACCAGCTACATTAACACCTCCCTTATCCAAGACTACAGGCATCCTTTCCACATGACCCCCATGCCTTATGACTTACAAGGTAAGTCACTGGTTCTTCTGTATTGTCACATAGCATTATGAATGCCTTTGATCTATCTAGTCCTTTTCTGGGTGAGTCTAACGAAGAATTGGAAGATGGAGAGAACATCTTGGACCCGGGGAATTGAGAGAAATAATATACTATGTTTGCAAATACTGACCCAGTTGCTTGGTCGTACTTTCATCAATAGCCAATGTTTTGCTACCAGTGGTATAACTAGTGCAATGGTCTTTAGGTTTTTAAGGCCTCAAAGTATTCTGCAAGTTGTTTTTGGATGACTTCTAATATGTGGCTTTGAATTTTAATTTTTATGAACATTAGTTTTTGTTTTATGATTCTAGTTGTAATGTAGCAGGCATTGTGGGTAACTATATTGTATTATCGTTTGGATAATTCTGAATTGACACATTTGAAAGTTTTAATTTTTGTTCTAGTGAACCTGATTCTTCTCTTTAAAAGCAGTTTGAAATGTCAGTATACCCATTTGTATAATATATTTTGAGTTTATAATAATCATTTGCATTATCAAAAACAATTATTAATTTTCATATATCTTCATAATTTAATAATTTTATTCGTCATATAGTCTAAGAACATTTTTCTTTTTTACAAAAAAGCCATATATGCTCATTGTAGAAAATTTAATACAAAAAATATAAAGTGAAAGATTTCCTCTACCCTTCTCCAAGCCCACTCCCCAGAAGTTACAGGTACTCTTAGCAGTTTGTTAGATATTTTTCCATGTCTTTTTTCTATACGTATGAAACGTACTGTCACTATCAAGAACCACAGTGCTATATATATTGTTGGTCCTCATGTTGTAATCTGTTCTATTGTAGTCAGTGGATGGATCCCCAGATAGTATTTGTGTGGTTGTCTTATTTTTATCTACATCTGCTTGTTCTTTCCCCCAAGTTTAGATACCATAACGAGGCATTTCATTAATGTTGGTTTACTTGCTCTTTGTTGCATTACACATTGGGCGATGTAGACAAGAATGTGGGTTGGAAGGGCCTGCTTGCATTGAATCCCAGGAAGCCAGGGATCAGGGCTGGGCCTTCTGTTATAGCACCATCCCAGCTCTCAGATCTCTCCCCAACCTGCATGCCATTGTAGTCTCTGATTTAGAATCCGGTACAGATGGTGGCAAATGTGCAATTTGAGAGAGAAAGAAAATCTGTGCTATAGCTTATAACCTCTTTCAACTTCAAACTTTCTTGTCTGCAAAATGAGGCCAAAAATAATTACATGCTTTATGAGGCACTTGTGAGGAGTAAATTAGAGTAGATTGAAAGGTTTTTTAAGAGGAGTCAGCGAGAGTATTTATAAAAAGTGCTATGCCAGTTTAAGGGATTAGTGTTAGATCTGACAGGGCAGCAATGGTCCAAGTCCCTCAAGTGGAGTCAAGGGGAGGGCAAATCATTATTAAAGCTTGGACTTCAGCCTTAATAATCTGGAGATGGGAGAGACATAAGACACTCAGCACAACTCTTTACGTTTAAATAGAATTCTAAATGACATAGCATTTAAGACTTGAATTTGTTTTTTTAATTATTGGGGTATTTGGAAGCTTTTTTTTCTTTGTTTTGTTTTTGTTTCTTTTTCCCAAAACTAAAATAATTTTTTCTCCCACAGGATTAGATTTCTTTCCTTTCTTATCAGGAGACAATCAGGTATGTTATATGAAAAAAAACTACTGTTATTTTTAATGTACATTAAAAATATTTAAAAGTATAATACAGTCATGCGCCACATAACGATATTTCAGTCAACAAGGGACCGTGTATGATGGTGTGAATGTAAGGACGAATTGGAAGATGGGGAGAAGAGGGCCTTGGACCCAGGGAATTGAGAGAAATAATATCCTGTGCATTCCACCACAGCTACGATCAAAGTGATGGAAATTATTAAAGGATCTGCTTCACTGAAGGCAACAAGACTAACACCGTCATATGTGGTCCCATAAGATTATATTGGAGCTAAAAAATTTCTATCACTTAGTGAAGTCATAGCACAACACATTACTCACATGTTTATGGTGATGCTGGTGTAAACAAACCTATGCTGCCAGTCATATAGTGTGTACAGGTATGTACAGTACATAAAACTTGATAATGATAATAAACAACTATGTTAGTGGCTTGATGTATTTACTATACTATGGTTTTTATCATTATCTTAGAGTGTACTCCTTCTAGTAAAAAAAAAAGATACGGTAAAACAGTATGCTGAGTTACACCAGCAGCAGCCTCAGACATCTCGTGTTTACTGCATCTCTTGATTGCACCATTTTCTTTTGTGCTTGATTTAATCATGTGTTGTTTTGTTCATCATGGCCCCTAAACATATAAAATCCACTGCTAATGTTGCCTGTAAGAGGCCACATTGAGCGATTGACCTGGAAATGAAATTAAAAGGGATTAAGGACTACAAAGGTGAAAAATCAGTGATGGTTCTTGCTTGCCAGTCAGACAAGTCCCATCACCATCGCTACGATCAAAGTGATGGAAGCTATTTAAGGATTTGCTTCATTGAAGGCAACAAGGCTAACAAAAATTTGAGAAGGGCCTATAACAGATATGGAGAAACTTCTAATTACCTGGATTGAAGACCAGACACAGAATCATATCCCTCTCAGCATCATAGCAGTCAGTCATGGCCAAAGCAAAAAGTTTGTGATATTAAAAGAAAAGGCTGGACCTGACTACGATGTTGAATTTACTGCTAGCTCTGGGTAGTTTAAATGATTCAAAAATCATTATTCATAACATAATGTGAAAGTGAGCAGCAGTGAGTCTGCAAGTGCCAATGTGAAGACAGGTGAAGAATTTTTGGAAATTCTAGATAAGCTGATTGAGGAGGAAAATTATTTGCCAGAGCAAATTTTCATTATGGATGAAACTTCCCTACTCTGGAAACAGATGCTTAAAAGGATTTTCAACATAAGGAGGCCAAGTCAATGCCAGGTTTCAAGGCTTTTAAGAACAGGGTGACAGTCTTTCTTTTAGGGGCAGTTTTATAGGCAACCAATTAAAACCCTTTGGGATCTGGCTTCTGGAAACAGATGCTTAAAAGGATTTTCAACATAAGGAGGCCAAGTCAATGCCAGGTTTCAAGGCTTTTAAGAACAGGATGACAGTCTTTCTTTTAGGGGCAGTTTTATAGGCAACCAATTAAAACCCTTTGGGATCTGGCACAGTGAGAAACCCAGGGCTTTGAAGCATATCAGTAAGCACCCACTTCCAGCATACTGCAGGAGAAATAAGAAGTTATGGATGACCCAGTTACTCTTCCAAGATACCCTCATGGATTGCTGTGCCAGTGAAGTGGAGAAGTACTGTTTAGAGAATAATATACCTTTCAAGATTTTGCTTGTTATTGATAATGCTCCCACCCATCCTCCTTTTATTGGGATCTTCATCCCAGCATCAAAGTGATATTTCTTCCTCCAAGCACTGCCTCTTTGATCCAACTAGTGGATCAAGGAGATATAGCAGCTTTTAAAGCCCTAGTACCTGAGGAGGACCATTTCCCAGGCTATTGCTGCAACTAAGGAAGACACTGATGCGTTTCTGGAAGGATTACAACATCTGTGATTGTGTAAAGAATCTTGCTTGGGCTTGGGACAATATCACCAAGGAGTGTATGAATGGCATGTGGGAGAAGACACTCAAGAGGTTCGTCCATGACTTCAAAGGATTTGCCAAGGATGAGGAAGTTGCAAAAATCAAGAAGGCTGTGGTTGAGATGGCAAAGAACTTTAACCTGGGTGTGGATGAGAATGACATTGAGGAACTCCTAGAGGTGGTTCCTGAAGAGTTGACTAAAGAAGAGTTGTTAGAACTGGAACAGGAATGCACAGCTAAAGAAGAGGAAAGAGAAAAGGAAGCTGCAGGGAAAGAACAAGAAGAAGAACCCCTATGAAAATTCAAGTGAAGGGTTTAGCAGAAGGTTTTGCAGACCTCAACAAGCTCCTTAAAAAGTTTGAAAACATGGACCCCCAACACTGAAAGGTTGTCATTAATCGAGAGGAATATGCTTGGTACATTATCTGTTTACAAGCAAATCTGTGATGAAAAAAAGAAACCAAGCAAACCATCATGAACATATTTCTGAAGAGTGACACTTCCTCAAGAAGAGCCTCAGGCAGGTCCTTCAGGAGGTATTCCAGAAGGAGGGTTGTTATCACAGGAGATGACAGCTCCATACATGTAATAGCCCCTGAAGAACTTCCAGTAGGACGAGATGTAGAGGTGGAAGACAGTGATGTTGATGATCCTGACCCTGCATAGGCTTAGGCTAATGTGTGTTTGTGTTATAGTTTTTAACAAAAAAGTTTAAAAAGTAAAAACAAAATAAAAAAATTTAAAAAATAGAAAAAAGCTTACAGAATAAGGATATAAAGAAAGAAAATATTTTTGTACAGCTGTACAATGTGTTTGTTTTAAGCTGTCATACAAAAGAGTTAAAAAGTTAAAAAATAATTTAAAAGCTTAAAAGTAAAAAAGTTGTAGTAAACTAGGGGTTATTTATTATTGAAGAAAGAAAAACATTTTTTTATAAGTTTAGTGTAAGTGTACAGTGGTTATAAAGTCTACAGTAGTGCATGGTAATGTCCTAAGCCTTCACCTTCACTCATCACTCACCACTCACTCACTCATCCAGAGTGTAACTTCCAGTCCTGCAAGCTCCAGTCATGGTAAGTGCCCTATACAGGTGGTCCTTTTTTTATGTTTTATACCATATGTTTATTGTACCTTTTCTGTGTTTATGATATGTTTAGATACTCAAGTACTTACCATTGTGTTACAGTTGCCTACAGTATTCAGTACAATAACATGCTGTACAGGTTTGTAGCCTAGGAGCAGTGGGCTATATACTATATAGTCTAGGTGTGTAGTAGGCTGCTATACCATCTAGGTTTGTGTTATTACACCCTGTAATGTTTGCATGACAACAAAATCACCTAATGAGGCATTTCTCCAAACATATCCCCGTCATTAAGCGACACATGACTATATTTAGCCAAGATAAAGAATAAATTTACTTGGAAAATTTGGAGTGACTATACCTATTATTGATATGGCTCTAAGAATTTAAATAAAAATTCCTAGTTTCAGCAGTGCCTGAGTAGTAAGAATAGTGTGTATTTTTTGGTTTCCAGTACTGTTTTATAAAGAAACAGAGGGCAATGAGTCATACTGACTGGTAGATTTCTTGGCCAGATATCTTCTTAAGAGCAAGAATAATGCAAATGAAAACAAAAACAGTAAAAAAAAGAAATTTTTTTTGTCCGGATCAATGATTTATTCATTACATAAGGCCATTTGATTTTGCAAAAATGTCGTATTAAATATTTCAGAAATACCAGATACTCAGGATATATTAAATTTAGGGCTTGGTTCTGCTATGAAAAGAATGTATTAATTTATAAGTATAATTAACATTTATTTGTTTTTTATTTCCCCTCCCTAGCATTACAACACCTCTTTGCTTGCCGCTGCAGCAGCAGCAGTTTCAGATGATCAAGACCTCCTACACTCTTCTCGTTTTTTTCCATATACCTCCTCACAGATGTTTCTCGATCAGTTAAGTGCAGGAGGCAGTACTTCTCTGCCAACCACCAATGGAAGCAGTAGTGGCAGTAACAGCAGCCTCGTATCCTCCAACAGCCTAAGGGAGAACCATAGCCACACTGTCACAAACAGGAGCAGCACGGACACAGCATCCATCTTCGGCATCATACCAGACATCATTTCATTGGACTGATTTCCTTGCCCCTGCTGCTCCCGTCCCTGTCTCAGATTAAATGAACTTGGCAGAAAGAAGAGAACTTTGTGCTGTTTTACCTTATTCTGTTTAGAAAAGTACACAAGCGTGTTTTTTCCTTTTTTTAGGGAAAAGAATTAAAAGAAATGTACAGAGAACAAAACTATATTTTCAGTTTTACTTTTGTATATAAATCTAAGACTGCCTGTCTGATAAAACACTTGTTTAAAAAAAAAAAAAGGAAAGAAAAGAAAAAAGAAAAAACAAGCACCCACAAACCACTTTCAGTTCATTTTTTCTGGATTCTGAAGATTTTTCATCATTTGTCCTGGTTTTAGTTTTATTTTACTTCAATGGCATTATTATTATTATTATTTTTTTTTTTGCAATAACAGAAAAGGAATTGCATGTATGAAGTTTTAAATTGTGGGCTTTTCTTTGTTGTGGGAGGGGGTGGGGGGGGTAGTTTGATTTCCATTTTCTAAAAATGACAGACTTGGATTCTGTTTGTGTGTGTGTGTGCGTGTGCATATTTTATCCAGCCGTAAGTTATAAATCTCATCTGTCCCACTGCATTCCCTATGTATTTTCAAGACATAGCTTGCGGGTGTGGGTGTTCAGCGTAGTGTGTCTGTGTGTATTTTTCTGTTGTTACTGTTCTCCTCTCAAGTTTGCATTCAGTTAATATATCAGTTGCCTGCTTCTTTCAAAGTGCTTTGAAGGTCTTGAACTCACATGTGAGTTCAACTATTCCAATTGCATGTTCTCCATCATATGTTCTCTCTTATTTGCTATAATACCCCCTGAGAATACGTTTTAGAGTAATTGGAGTAAAGCCGTCTGGGTGAGGAGTAGGCTTAGCAGACCTGTGAATAATACACTTTAGTCTACTTCTTTATTCTCAATCTGGATTGCCAGTATTGTGTTTGTAAACCAAGTCTGTGAATACCTGCTTTTTTGGCCACAGGGTAACAAGTTTTCGTGGAAGATCTTCATACCAAATTAGGAAGTAAAAATAGCTTAGAAAGCCCTGTTGAGTATCTTATGCAGCTAACAGAGGTAAGGTTACATCACCTCAAAAAGAAAGATAAGTCAGTTATCCTAAAAATAAATTCTTTTTGGAAAATACAGTGCACTATATATGTCAATCTGTAGAAATCTACTATTTGATAAACAGTTGAAATTCAAAGTGGGTTTGACCTTTAGTCATTTTTACTCTCTGGTTCTGAGTACTTATTTTCTTAGCCTGTTTACCTTGTTTATTTTTATCTTCACCTTTTAACAAGCATGACATAGGACAGTCATTTTTTTAGAATTTATGGGGGTCAATCTGATCTACTCATATTAATAATGGAACGTAAATAAATTGAAAACTGTTTTTCAGGAGATGAGTAAGGGTTGGAGGGAAGGAAAAGTGGTTCTATATGCGTTCCAAAATCCTCATCAGAGAAAGTATTACGTTCTCAGGTGTGGAAAATATTTTTTAGTTGATTGAGAATGCAGGTTTAACAGAAAAGATAAAGGGGCATAATGATCGCCAGTTTTCCAGACTGGATTTTTATAACACAATTGTTAATGTTCTCAGAGTTGATGAAGGACCACCTTTGTGTATAAACTTGTTGTTTTAAACCTTGCATTGGTAACAAAATAACCTACTTAATCCAGGTAGAATTCAAGATGGCTGTATCTTCAGTTGTATGATAAAATTAGTGGTTCACATGACTGTGTGGCATCTAAAAATAATACCTGTTTTTACAGCATCTCTCTGCCACTAAATTGTTGACTTGAATTTTGGGGAAAAAAAGTTGGTGTTGATATGTATATGTGTGTGTGTATATATGTATTTATAAACAAGTGTGTGTGAGTAACAAGTGAGTTAAATAGTCTTCCCCTACGCATGTGTATTCCACACATAAATGGCTGAATATAGTCACAATTTGCAATTAAAAAAAAATTGTCAGTTAAAACAGAAAATAGTTAAGTTTTTTAATGAATCTGGTGTTATGGTGAATAAACACTTTAAGAACTCTCGTTGCCATCTTAGGCTAATTTTTAATAGTACCGTAATTTGTGTCTAAATTTGGATTGGAGTAGAAATTACTAAAATTGTGGGGAGTTGTTTCCTATTTCACACTGCAATAGGAAACATTTCTGTTAATTCTACTATCTAAGGTAAAATGGTTTTCTTTATTCCTGTTTTTTTTTTTTTCTTTTTCTGTTGTTAGTGGTCTCAAAATTCTGAACAGTAACTTTGTGTATGACGCTGAATTACAAACTCTTTGAATGATCTAATTGAAAAACCAGTTCCTCTACTTTCTGAAGAAGCCCAGTTTTGGAGAGGATTAGTTAATTTCCCTCTGTGTCCTGCATCATACCAACCTCTAAGGGAAGAACATGTAATAAGGAGAAATAAACGTCTGTCCAGTGGCTTCGGTCATATCTCCGTGGGAGAAACTAACCAGTCAGTTGTCTTTTTATTTTAGTTCATTCCACTTTTGTGAGGAGTTCATTTCCTTCAGTTATTGGCTTTCCAAAATGTTGCATTAAGTAATAGTTATCACTCTGTTGGTCTCATAGAGACTTTCATGATCTGTAATAATTATTAGTAGAGTCATGCACTACATCTTTATTTCCTGAGTTTAAAAAAAAAGCCCACAGTCACTTCATATCTTTTTTCCTTAGCCCACTCCCACTCCCCACCCCATGTCAACGTTGACATGCTGTCTGTAGATAAATAGCAATTCTCAGGATCTTTAGGCAAGATGCCACCATCCCCCTTGCCTTGATCTTTCATAATAGGTGTGTGTATGTTTATGTTTCTGTACAGCACTATATGTGTGCGTGTGTATGTATATCTGTATGTAAACATCTGTGATAAAATAGCTGTTCGATGAGCAGGATTGAAGTGGCTTTTAATTACTTTGTGGGCATTATTGGACACATCTTTTTTAAAAAAACAATCTGAACCTTAACCATGCCACACTTGGTTGACTAATTTATTTTGAGTTGAAGTGGCTTTTAATTACTTTGTGGGCATTATTGGACACATCTTTTTTTAAAAAAACAATCTGAACCTTAACCATGCCACACTTGGTTGACTAATTTATTTTGAGCATTAAAATTTTCTGTTATTTAGACATTACCACAAGTCTATATATCATTACTGACTTAGAAAAGATTCACTTAAACTTCTGAAAAATGTGATTTCTTTGCAGATTTTCCTTTAAGTGTCTGAAACTGAATGAAAGTATGTCCCAATTGTAAATTAATGTGGAAAGAACAATGTTTATAAAACAATTTCAATTTTAATTACATAAAACTTTCAAGATCTTCAGGACTTTTTAAGGCACGTTTAAAATTATTTTAGTAAGAATTTTGTTTTATCAATATATGTTGAATTCTGTTTTTTAATTAAACACAAAGCTTAGATTTAAGAAAGAGGGAGGGAGAATAGCTGGTGGTCCCAGAGTGTGCTGCTGTTAATTGTTTAATTAACAAAGGGGAAAATGTATATAAACAGATATAAAAGTTACCATAAATTCCATGAACTTAAATCTGTGATTCATTGCCTTAAAACTTTCTCTCTTAGAATTTCCATACCGCATGCCAAACCAGTAAAATGGCTTTTAAAAATGTATAGTAGACCAATGTCAGTTTGTATAAAAGTATCAAGTGAAAATATTTATTACATGCATTGGAAAAAAATTGTTTACCTATTGAATGTTACCTGTTTATGTAGAGCTCTTTAGATGTAATAAAAGAAAAGCCTTCAGTTAATTTGTCTTCTGTAAAATAATACTGCTGGTATACAAGCGGACGCTCCCTGTCAGAAAAGTGACAATGCTTTGTGCTTCCGAGCACTTTCATCCAGAGATTTCAAAGCATGACAGGTAACTAATTCTCTTGCAACATGCTTTGAGGTAAGTAGTGGATATACAGCCATCATTTCCCTTCCTTACTGAAATATGGCTAGCTCTGTAATGAACCACAGAATATTTAGGTTTACATCTGTTTAATATCTGCAGTTTGAGTGCTAACAGCACTGTGGCCTTTTTGTAAACAACACTAGCTGCTAGGTAAACCAACTGGAATTTCAGGAATGAGCATGAAACTAGAATGGGGTAGTGTAAAAAAGCCTTTCCTGGTGTAGAGGTTTAAATCAGAACACTTCACAGGATTTTAGACTCCAAGCCACTAAACACCCTTAATTAGGAACAGTGAGTCGGTGAGTCGGAGCCCCGGGTTCTAATGACCACTCCATACCAGCTGTTTGGTTTTGGCAAACCGTACTTCAGATTCCTGTTAGGCAAATAAGATTCATAAAACTTGCTTTAAAACCATACTGGGACAATTCAGTGATAAATACGGACATAGAAAAAGCTTTGAGGGAAAGTACCCTCACTTATTATAGCCCGGAACTTCCTTTTTCTGTCCCATCTAAATCTTGGTATCTATGTCTTATCTAATCCTTGGTATTCCAGATTGGCTGTGCAGTATTTGCTTCCTAAGGTCCGTGACTGGAGTTCAAAAGAGGTGTGGGTCTGCGACCCTTGAGCCTTGCCTAGAAGTGAAATACAGCAGTTCTCTCTGGGGTCTAACTAGCCCTCAGGTGAACATAACCGTGAAGGTAATGACGTTTAGGGCCCCTCACTTGCTCTAGCCTCTTCCAGTGTCCTGGGAAATTCTGTTTCTATTTTTGTATTCTTCAAGAAGGCCACCAAATCATGTGTATCTCAGACTTCACAAAACCTGGATCTCCCCTGCACCATGTGGTCCTGGGCTCCCCAGCTAGATAATCACAACCTCATCTAGTTGGTGTTTTGGCCATTTACTGCCTGCCCTCACCCCCCACCCACAGCCCAGAAACCCTTCTCTACAGCTCCTGGGAATTCTTACTCACTCCCATCAGCAATTACAGTATTGGGAAAATGAAAGAGTATCCTTTCTCAGGACCTCAGTTTGGTCTGAAGCTACACAGCATGGGGGAGATAGTTGCACTAAGACTATGGCTGTTTTGTCCCCTGCAGTTTTCCCAGTGACTGGCCCTTAGTAAAATATTGGAGTCTTGTATAAACTCCCAGAAGACACACCCCCTTCTTGATTTGGTTTTCTTCTGCTTTAGCTGCTAAGGCGCCATTAGACAAAGTCACAGCCCAGAGAGCCCAATTTTGATACATACAAGGAAAATCTTTGTACTTCGAGCTCTGCACCCCTGCCCCATCCCCACCTATGCTGGTGTGTTACTCAGGCCCTTTTTCAGGGCTGTGCTGACACTACCAATGGATCCACAGATTTGACAACTGCTTGAGTCCCAGGTGGCCCCAGCGTGGTGCCTGACTGTGTAACTCATCAAAGCCACTTGAGCTGGAAGGGCTCCCAGCAGGACCATTACCCCTACTACTGTTTTCCGGGGCTCTTATATCCTGGCCATGGCCTGTTAACTCCC